TGGCTTCTGCGGTGGGCTGTAACAGCCACAGATGGATAACATCAGAGAGACTTAGGTAACTATGGAAACAAGTAGCTGGAGTCTGCCTCAAGGTCTTCTCTTCAGATCCTTTCTCCATGCTAAGAATGGGCAGGGAATCTTCCCCACTCTCCAATATGCAGAGAAGCAAAACAAGTTGGCAGTGGTGCTGGGAATGGAAATAGGGAGCTGAGGCAGGTGAGGAGGCAGAAGAAGGAGGACTCTGGAATTAAATTAGAAGTTAAGCAAGAGAGCAGGACTAAGGGGAAAAGCAAATAGACATGAAGAGCTTCCTGTATCCTGATGCCTAGGTAGCCTGTTTAGTAGGCTTCACAGATACTCTACACATTAATTAGTTAAATGCGCTTCCAAGCTAACCAGTCTCTACTCTCTGCATGAAGGTCTGCGTGGATGTTCTGGGTTAGTGCTCAAAGCAAAAACTAAAAAAAAAAGAAAACTCGGTTTTGCTTTTTTAAATCATGTCAAGCTGATCCTTCAAATCAAACGTCATGCTAAGTGACAAGCGAATGCCTCTTATTTTTAAAACACTAAAATGTAAAGTTGTGGGTTTGCCCAGCACAGTTGTATCAGGACTCAGTGAGTTTCACCAAAATTGTGCTTTCGGTCAACATTTAATTAACTTATTTCAGTAGACAAACCTATTCACATTTGGCCACCCTGCAAGTTTAGCTTTAGTTGCCAAAAACTAAGGCTAGAAGAGCTAAAATTCAGCCCCAGAGAAGCAAACTGTCTTTTAGTACACAGGGATAACATAATCTGTAATTCTGCTATACCAGATGCTGCCATCTCAGGCTGAAAGAGCAAACTTTGTGTGAGAGAAAGAGTAAACTGCCGATTTTCACAGGAGAGACAGATAATTTTAATTCTAGATTGATGGAAATAGTGCTCAGATAGCATCAACATTCATACGTGGAGGGACATGCAGGTTTGTTTATAAGGAAACATCCACCCAGACAGGAAGAGGAAAACCAAAAAGCATATAGGGGCCACAACGGAGGACAACATTGAGACTCCTTTGAGTAATTGTCCATGCTCTGCCTGTGCTCTTAATGGTTTCACATCTGAGGAATAATGTGGCAATCCTCAAATGACTCAAGGAACTACAGGCCAGTGAACCTCACCTTGAATCCTGGGAAGGTGATGGAGCAGTTAATCCTGGAAACCCTTTCCAGGCACACCAAGAACAAGAAAACTATCATGAATAGTCAACATGGCTTCACCAAGGGGAAGTCATGCTTGATCAACTTGACAAGCTTCTGTGATGAAGTGACCAGCCTGGCAGATGAGAGGAAAGCAGTGGCTACTGTCTACCTGGAACTTCAGCGAAGACTTTTATGCTGTCTCTCGTAAGATCCTCATAGAAAAGCTGATGATATGTGGGCTGGATAAGCAAAGAACAAAGTGGATTGGAAACTGCCTGAATGGTGGGGCCCAGAGGCTGGTGATCAGCAGCACTAAGTCTAGTTGGAGGTCAGTAACTAGCAGTGTACCACAGAGATCAATATTGGATCCAGTCCTGTTTAACACTGTAATTGATCTGGATGACACAGTAGAGTGTACCCTCAGCAAGTCTGCAGATGACACCAGACTGGCAGGAGTGGCTGGTATGCCAGAGGGTCATGCTGCCATCCAGAGAGACCTTGACAGGCTGGAGGAACAACCCAACAGTAACTTCATGAAGTTCAACAGAGGGAAGTGCAGAGCCCAACCCTTGCAGAAGAATAACCCCATGCAGCAGTACATGCTGAGGGGCGGAACCAGCAGGAAACCAGCTTTGCAGAAAAGAACCTGAGGGTCCTGGTGGACACAGAGTTGAACGTGAGCCAGCAATGTACCCTTGTGGCAAAGGCACATGGTACCCATGGTTGCATTAGACAAAGTATTGCTAGAAAATCAAGGAAGGCGATCCTTCTCCTCTACTCAGAACAGGTGAGGCCATACCTGGAACCCTCAGGGAGATCTTATCAACATATATCAATATCTGAAGGGAACATATAAAGAAAACAGTCAGGCTTATTCTCAGTAGTGGCCAGTGCCAGGACCAGAGGCAATGGGCACCAGCTGAAACACAGAAGTTCCCTTTGAACTTCAGGAAACACTTGTCACTGTGAGGGTGACCAGGCACTGGCACAGGTTGATCAGGGAGACTGTGGAGTCCCCCTCCTTATATATATTAAAAATAATCTGAGACTGTTCTGGGCAACTGGATCTAGGTGTCCCTGCTTGAGAAGTGGGTTTGGACCAGATGTCCTCTGGAAATCCCTTCCAACCTCAGACATTGTGATAAAAAAAAAAACCAAAACCCAAAAGAAAAACAACCACAGTTAAAAAAAACCCAAAACAAACCAAAACAAAAACAAAACAAAAACAAACGAACAAAAACCACAACAACAAAAAAAACCACAGCAAATAAAAACCCCAATATATATGTCATTTCCAATCTCTGGAAACAGCTCCTACCCACCCTACACCAGCATAGATATTTTCATTCTATACGTGCAGGTGCCACAATTTACACACATATATACACACACAGTACTGCAGAACTGAAAAAAAAAAGAAAGTATTAAAAAATCCAAAACAGCCTCAATGAGAGGCTGATACGGTTTCTTGAAATTTTCCCAGACATTATGCACAGACTTCCCACTTTCAGGGATTGTCTGCATCTGTAAAGTGAATCCATCACATCCTAGTGTCTCAAATAGCATGCACAAATCTCCTTAAGCCCACCAGCTTCAGCTGCATCTGGCCCAGTAGGGGTTGGGCATTCAGTCCTCTGTACGTTCCATATCTTTAAACAGCACCTATTTGCAAGACAACCATACACAGATCACAATCTGTTTCAGGCACCTTCAACCCAGCTGCTCCCTGTTCATAAATCCTCCACACCACAGGAATATCTAATTAGTATGCATGTTTCAGTAATGCTGGGTTTTGCTGCAGTCTGTTTGGAGACATCCAACCTTCAGGGTGTTTAAGATATGTTGAAATTCAGGACAAGTTTGTGAAGTCACTAAATTCATAGATGCAAAACTTTTAGTTTCCACTCCTCTTTGGGTTGTGATTTCTATGTTGAATATATTCACTTCACTTGGTAACCAGATTTTTAAAAAATTATTAGTCTGTCTACTCGCTCAGGTCTTGCTGAATCATTGACTGTCAACAGCAGAAGACTCTTCCAGCCAACTACATCTTCAGCTATACCTGAACAACTCTGCCAAATTTAGCTCAGCAACTGGAACTTAATTAACTATTCTGTTGAGAATGTGTGGGCCAGAATAGGAAAGGGCTCAGCATGTCAGAGCTGTATTAGCTCTGCAGCACTGATAGGAACATAAACTAATAAAAAGTTCTTGTTCATACTAAAATTAATAACCTGGACCTTCATCAGACAGTAGGAGCAACTGTCATAAGATGAGAATCGTATCAGTGAACAGATCTATTCTGTACAAAATCCTCTATTCAATCACTTTGCAAATTAAAAACAGCATCAAATAAAGGAAATTTCCATTACAACATAAGAACATATTCTTTCAAGATACTTATCCTGCTCATAACTGGCCACAGACAAACTGTGTGAAATGCACTCAAAGTTATTCAGAGAACTGAAGTGGCCAAAAATATCTCAATCTGTCCTTTCCAAAAAGGGGCATTTTACTTATTTTTACCTTTGATTCATTGCTTGGTTAACTTCTACTATTTAAGTGATTACTTACAGTGCAGCTAAATTCTCCTTTCTACATGGCTAGCTAGAATTACCTTTTTTGAGGCTATTATATCACCTTAAATTTCTATTACATTAAGATACTGGTTTTGTAGCACTAGAACAAACATGAGAGGTTTTTTTCGACTTATGGACTGTTTTTCTACCAGAAACCTACCTAATAGTTCCACAGCAGTGAACTAAGAAGACTACAGCCAAAAAAAAATAATCTTAAGTTTGCTATGCTGGTACAGACCCTGCACTTGAAAAATTTCAGAAATCCATAAGCCAAAATGAGACAATTGGAACAACTGGAACAAACCCCCAGAAGTCTGACAGACTTGGCTGAAAATGCTAATCTAAAAAACTCATCAGTCTAGGATTTTGCTTCCTCTATATGCTAGCAGCTATTACTATTTTTATCTTTTGATAGATAACAATCTTTTCTGAATGCTAAAACTGTTGAAAGAAGAAGGATGAATACTCACTCAAAATAATAACTGGATTTAATGCATTGCTATTTTTCTTATGCATACTTTCCATTAAAACTCATACCTTTTAGCTTGATTAATCACAAACACTCAGAAGTAACTTTTAAGTAAAATAAACCCTAAGATTTCACTTAAAATATTACATTCCATTATAATGTTCTTTATTTACTATTTGCATGTCTCTCAGACATCCCGTTTCCATTTGTCAATCAAATGGTTTCTACGATCAGGTAAAATGACAAAGTGGGATTTTAATCAAATATACGATCTGCAATACTACACAAATTGATGAGGCAAATGCATTATTTTAAGTTACTAATGGCAACTCTGAATCTAGCTGTAATGCTCCAAATTTGAAAATCAAATTACTCTCACCAAATTCCTTGCCAGCTAGTAATAAATACTTCCCTCTTTCACAGCGTTTTTCTTCTTTAGATTAGAAAGCATGATGGTCACTATCATTATCTCTGCTGTTACATAGCTTTTATAAAACAAGAGGGCCCAAGGGAAAAGGTTTTACAATGTTTCATTCTTTAATCATCTTCATTTTTAATCTAGACTCCAAAAAGAAGTTCCAAGTATCATTAGGAATCTCATTCAAAGTGTGTTAGTGTTAATGGAAAATCTCCTTTCACTCATACAAGATTAAGCCACAGGCTTCAAATTGCTTCTTCTCTTTATTGTTCTTCCTATTTGAATTTTGCCTAAGTTTCTCTATGCCATCCTAAAGCATCAGAAGAATATTTTTTATTATATTAAATACTCACCTCAAACCACTGGCCATGTGATTGCATTTTAAGGATGACACAAGGATCTGGCTTTGAGAGAGCATCCCTGTCTGATATGCCTTTGCATGCAACTCGCAGCTCCACTTTAGTCAGGCATGGGCTGTTAAAAATTCCCAGGGTATTGGCTGCTGATTCATAGATGTTACTCATTTTCTTCATTCCTTTTTCTGAAAGACAGAAAAGATGCATTAAGGGCAGTGCAGGCACAGTACAGTCCTTCCTTCCATGCGGAAGCCAACACAACGTTTCTGCTAACCAGTGAGACTCCCTAGCTGCAATCCAGAGCAAAAGCAGAAAAAATAAAATCAAACAAATACCTAAGGGAGAAAGAAATACATAGTCTTGTATGTTTAGAAATAAGCCAACTTTAGAATGAAACTTTCCATCATGCCGCTTTACTCTGGGAAGGAACCGTGACCTCAACTACTAGCTCTCTTCCTGTTTGGAGAACTGCATTTCCTCAGGCTAAAGGATAGACAGGATGGTAATTCTGCATTATTCCTGATAAAATCTCATGCTAGTAACAAGGGTAAATTAAATTTGTTCAGCACTTCTTGAATCTGCTTTAACTTCTCCATATTTTGTCTAAAAAGCATGTGTTTCATCTTTCACAAACTTCTTGTGTAACTGCTGTAGAAGGCCCCCTTCACATCAACCTTAAATTCTATCATACATTTTAGTCCCCACACTTACTGCAGATTACCTCCTCCATCCCTAAGCAAGTAGACAGGATTGATGGCAACAACACGTGGTTGGAATATTATGAATCTCTGGCCCTTACTTCATCATACACACCCACACCAATCCTGCAACTCAAGCCTTTGCTCTCAACAGAAGCAAAGAAAAAAAACAAACAACAAAAAACAAACATAGAGATTAGCAAAACCACTATGACCTTTTTTTGCCTCAATAAAGAATATTGGAAGACTTTAATCTGCTCCCTTTTTCTGAGTTTCACAGTGTAACCCCTAAAAATCCGTTTCCTAGTACAAGAAGACCCAAGGATTAGTGCTTTCACCCTGTCTTACTGCATACATAAGAGCTGCAAAAAAATAATTTCAAACTTTTAGAGCACAGATTTATTTTACCAAATAACCAAAATGTTTCTTGTGGTCTGTTTCAAACCTCTTCACTGTCTCTTTCACAACACCCTGTTCTCAGAAGTTAATGATTTTTGAGAACTGCTTTGACAGAAGGTAAATTTTGGTGACACGGAAATGAAAGTGAAGTTTTATTTCCCCCAATTCTGCAAGTTACAAACAAAACCCACTAAACTACACCTTTGGAAAATCCAGTTTCCCTGCTTGGCAATAGATAAGTTGGCAATACATAAGTTGGCAATACACTGCAGACCTCTACTACATGCAGATAAACTTCAGGAATGTAAGTCTGAATGATGAGGCAGATGATGTGCTCTCCTTGAAGAGGAAAGAAAAGCTTGTTAACAATTTACAATTATTCAAATCTATACAGCAACTTAATATGTGACCACTGATTTCTGTGAAGACTCCAGTCTGTTGGGTTTGGAGTGAATGGACTCCAACCACTCTCTACCTCAGGGTCTATGGGCCTATATCCTTCTGGCAAAACAGACCTCTTGAAACTTGAGCCACATCGCGACCACAGTGATCCTAAGATCGAAATAACCTTTTTCAGTTACTTTTAAGTGCTGTCACCTAAACTATGGTCCTTTGGATTTACCACAATGAAGAAAATATGACTGGGAAAAACTACACAAAACATGGAAAATGGTAGTAGCAGGCTACGCTATAAAGCCCAAAGAATATACTGAACTTCAATGCTGCGTATACACTAGTTCAGCTTCTCATACATTTTTACCAAATACTCTTGATACTGAAAATAGACCAGCATCTCTCAAATCTCAGCCTGTTACAGGGCAGGGAATATCATTTTGTGCTGGGTAAATTCACATCAGTGACAGCAAGATCACAGTCCTAGCTTGAATGAAAAGCAAACAGAGGGAACTGGGATCTAACCTAATCAGAACCACCATAATTTGAGAAGCAATGTTCTGCATACAAGAGGGACCTGACATCTGCTACATCAACAAAACACACCAAAAAATGTCAGGAAAATGTGCTACCAAAAGTGACATCTCAAGACAACACTTGGGAGACTGGTTTTCTTCATTATGTCGCGCTTTTTTTTTTTTTTTTTTTCCCCAGAAAGAGAACAGAATGAGGTTGTGGTAACTTCAACAAAGCCATTTAGCTTTTAGCTACTTCACTAAAAGTTAAAATTTTATTTGTATGTATTTTGCTAGCAATCATCACAATGCTTACTTTTTCTAATCTATTTCTAACATACCCCTGATATAAGATGTCAGGTACCTAAGTTTCCATCAACTGGGTTTACAAAAAGATCATCAGAAACTGAGGTAGCAGAGAGGGACTGCTGTCTAATTATTCGTCATTTTATTATCCCATCTCTTTCAGAAAGCTGTTCAACAAGCTCAACCCACACATTTACAAGACATTTTTACATACTGCCCTTTCCAAATTGAAATCCATTTGAAAATTGGGTTAATTCTGTCTCATGCACATCTTAAATCATTAATGAAATGTCATCCTTTGTGGAGAGATAGGTTGGTGATTAATTATACCACATGATCTCAACACTAAAGGAGAAAAAGGAGCAGAATGAGGGGGAAGAAATGTATTTTCCTTCCTCCCACAATAATTATACACTGGGGTTGTTTTTTTTTTAGAACAGCAGGTAAGTATAAAATTATATTTCTTTTTATGACTACAACTATTACTTCAGCTATTGCAAGTTCTAAATTTATCAATGGAAAAGATCAAGCCATAGTTTTATTCTTTTGTCCCATTATATTCTTCTTTTAATATAAGCACCAGTTTGGGCTGTAGTCCTGATGTCATGTTACCAGGAAGCTGGGGACCTGGGAAACAGATTTGGAGCCTACTGAAAGTGGCTAAAAAAAAGTATTATTTTACGTAAACATAGACAAGTTAGATTGTGTAAGAAGTTGTGGGATTTTTTTCAATAACTGCGTATATTATTGATGGACTAATAGATTGTTCATTTTTCTTTGCTACAGACTCTTCCTTTTTAGCTTCCTTAGAATCTCATTATTCCTTCTTTGTCCCCATGACTTTAATAGTCACTGAATCTGTGAGCGGAAAGCAATTGCACAGATACAAAAATAAGTTGACTAACTGATAAGTCACATACTACTGAAGTTTCCAGTTCATTGCTGCATACATTCATTTTCATTTCCACTTGAAATGAAGAAAACAGTGTATCATTACACACTTCCCACACAAACTCATTAGCCAGTGCTTGACTGCACAGAACAAGGAAGCAGGACCCAGGCTTCTGGTTTCTCCTCTCCATGGTGAAACAGCAAGGAAGAAGGCAGGACCGACTGCAAAAAACCTGTTTTGCCACCTTCAAATACAGTGTGCTGAAATCCAAACACCCAATACATTAACCAAGGTTTATTAAAAAACAACAACAACACCAAAAAAACAACACCAAAAAAAGCCCCACAAAATCCGTTGATAGCACCCTATGGAATACAAAGAAAACGAGGACCTTCTGGCATACTTAGAGTTCATTTAGTAGAAATAATGTGCTTTATTGACATTTTTCAGATTCATGGCTTAGATGGATCTTATTGATGTGTATAAACTTGTGATGGGAGGTGAATAAAGAACATGAAACCAAATCCTTGTCAGCAGTGCCTAGTGACAGGACAAGAGGCAATCAGCACAAATTGAAATACAGAACATTCTGAATAGAAGAAAACTTTTTACTCTAAGGTTGGTGGAACACTGGAACAAGCTGCTCCAAGAACTGGTACATTCTCCATCCTTGGAGATACCAAAAACTTGTCAGGACATGGCCACAAGTGCTTTGAGCAGGAGTTCAGAATAGATGATCTGCAGAGGCCCTTTCCAACCTCTACTGCTGTGAGTAAGCAAGAGAAATATCAAACTGTAACCTTTTTAGGATAGAGATTGCCTCTGTGATCTGTTGTTTTTCCTGGTTAGCACAGGTGGATACTAATCTATGATTTGGGCCCCTTGGCTCCAAAATCACACAGAAAATCAAAAGACAAACAGAAGTCCAGCATTTCTGGTAACTAGTGCTAGAAAGGCTCCTATGTGTAGAAATTTCATTAAAAACAACAGCACACAAGTCCAGAAGTTTGAGCTGGGCTAGGTATCTGGATTACACTGAAAACCAGTATTTACATTGGCCAACTACATCTTTCTCCTCTCAAAGGGAATGAATGGCTTAAAAACATTTAGTCATCTAGAGTCTACAGAAGCAAGGATCTCTCAGATGTGAAATACAGAGTACAAGCTTCTCTCAGAGTTCTAAAAGCCTTGAATTCAGGTCACAAAATCAGATCTACCTTGTTCCAAAATGGTTATCCACACAGGACTTCACAGAACCTCACCACAAAATTATAATGAGGCTCCTTATATCTACCATTAAATAAATTTAAAATGCTATCTGACAGATCTCAAGCATTCTCCCCTGCCCATGCTGTCATTTTGCTCTCTTACACACACACAATCTCCAAAAGCTTTTCTGCAAGTTATCTGGGTGAAGTGCAAAGAAATTGCTTCTCTACTGCACTTTGCAAAGAATCAGAGGAAAACGCACATTCAGCCTCACCTTCAGGTAATGAATGAGCAGGGAATGAGAAAGATGCTGAGATTAAAAGCAGTGACCAGTGTGCCCTGCGTTTAGAAACAGGTCTTTGTTTGTGTTGCTTTGTTTTTGTTGGTTTTTTTTTTAAATACCCTGTACTCCAGAAAACATACACACAAATGGATTTGGGGGTTGAAGATGTCCTTTCACCATTTGTTGAGAACTGTGTCTGAATCACTTGTTTCATTGCCACCGTGAAATGAAGACAAGTCAATAGCATCTGTCTGCTTCTGCAAAAGTAAACAGCAAGACTGCTCCTGGAAAGGTAAAGGATGTTTACAGTATGTGTACACAGTGGGAAACTCTAATGGTAGACTGACATGAAATAAGAGATGTGAGTTAAGTGCCCCAAAACAGGAAAAGACCTAAAAGCACTGGATGTTGTAGTAGTAGCTGATCCCTAGTTATTTATACTTATATACGGGAGAGATATTTAGTATCCAAAACACAGATGAACTCT